CACACTCGTCCTGTACTGTACAGGCCACCCAGCCTCACCGCTTCGCTATTTACAGTACAGGTTGCTGACATGGCCCATAATACTTATCATGGCAACAAGAAAAGCTGTTCTAAAACTATATGATGACGTGTGTCATCAGGTTGCCAATCTGGCTCGTTCAATGCATCTGGGGGCAGATGGATCTCTGCCATCAGGTGAACATAACGTCCAGCCGAACATGTGTGCTATCCGAGTTGCAGCCTAAGCTGGAGCATCCGAGTAGACGGTGAGGCAATGATTGGTAGAATTGGCAGGTACTTGCGACACGAACAAAGGAACACGTGTTCAAAAAACGCCGTACTATGTCAATTAATCCTCACCCAAGTCTACTCGGATCCAGCGTTAAAAAGTCGGTTGCTAGGCATCCAATCTTTACGGAACTCAACTCATTGATCCCGGTCTTAACATAAAGTGGGCCACCACAGAGATTGAAGTCATGCTAAGTCTATCCTTTGTGTTCAGGAATCCATATGGGTCACTCAGAGCCCACCTTAATTTTATTGATAGGTCACGTCGATTCAGAATATTGTATATGTGATAAGCTGCCTTGTATTATGGATATTATGCTGTTTTACATGCTGTATAGCCAAAGAGGGTGTATGAAACGGATTAATCCCACATTAATGTTCGCATAGTCTTGCTTAAATGGCTGTTATACCGGTGTAACTGGATGAACGTCAGCTAAATTGTTGAAGCAAATGAAGGTCATGTCCGCTAGTCAGTGAGCACGCACCGCCGGCATTCTGCTGGAGAAAGGGGCTGATGAACGGCGGTTCTCAGGTTGTGTGTGACCGACCGTAGCTGAAGTGGAGTCAAGCAACTGCGATGTAAAAATTACTACTACCAGGCCAACCCACGAGAGATCTAATGCTGCATCTGGCCAGTCCAAAGCATATCCTCTTGATGCCTAGCAGTTGTATCTTTTCCTCCGTGCTGGGCATTTAGGGATTAGGGCATTACAGTCAAATAGGAAGCAATCACTGTTTTCTCAGGAAATCGTCTACAAAAGGCTACAGTAACGGCCAGGCTCTGCTCGATGGAGGTGGTAGCTAGACCGACATTCCTGCAATGACACCGCCCTACTTGCAGTGGAACTGAGCAGATAAGAAATCGGTGTCACAGCCCTGAAGAAAATACGAATAATTAATGTGGACTTCTTTCAGGATGCTGGTTCCGGCACACGTTCTAATAGATAACAGATGTTCCGTGTTATAAGGTTGAGTTTCCTCTGCCCAGTCGAGTTGCCAGCCCAGTTGTCGCTATCTCGAAAAGCAACACAATACCATTTGAACCAGTGGTATTCACAACAACTCGATTAAACTGCCTTTTCTATAGGGGAAAATGTCGGTAGCTCAGGTAGCGTAGATGGTGGTCGTTGGATTGTTCGCTGAGCTGGGCAGTTTTTGGTGATTGTGCTAGTGGTTGTGCCACCATCAACCCACCGCTGCGCACTACTGCGCTCCCAAATAACGCACTGATGATGTCACCTCGATTGGTGATGAAACGTCTGCAATCAAATTGCCCAGCTCAGCGAACAAGCCAGCGACCACCATAACCTACCTTTCCCCACCGAGGGTTTCGAGCTGCATATCGTACCAGGCATGCAAGGAGCTGAGTCTGAAAGAGACCAGTCTTGTTCTAGAGACGAAACGCATTACCTATAAAGTTAATGAAAACACTTGATAGCCTACGACCAGTTTTGTACTTCTCGGGGTCTACATGTGGGAGCAGTTCCCGCGTTTCCGTCACTCGCTACGAACATGGCTGTAATGGCATTTGATTATTCGAACAGAAAATTCGTTAGGAAGACCACAAAGCACCTCGGCTCTGACGAGAATGTCGAAAAAAGAAAACATAACAATAACAGCAGATGAGTGCTATTGCCAGGTGTTACTTGCCCGTCATTTTAATTTCTTCAGTAAGCGACCATTTCCTTCCGCCTATGATAAACTTCTGCTATCTCCTGGGTGTTAACATATGGATGAAGACCCTGGCTTCTGTCTTTTTCATTCAACTGAGTGCAAATTTAGTGCTATCTTTCGGATACTTGGCATAGCGCCTATCGTTTATATGTATTAGTTGTGAATGACTTCCAGCATGTTATCTTTTCATGAGGGATTTTGTCTCACGAATGCGTTGTACGCGCATGATTTGGAGATGGCTTCAGGGCTCGTTGAGTGCACCACACGGTGGACAACCTCGTGTCCGACCAAACTACCGTGCATTAAGTTAGTCGAGGAAATTTCCTCCATGTGACTTTGCTGAAGTTGGTATTGTACCATTTCCCATAATACGAGAGTTTTCCACTGATTTTCGGAGACAGTCAGTTCGAAAACATACGATTTTGTAGAAACAGTTGTGTTTCTAGTCTATTGTTTCACGCCATCTAGCGCACAAAAAGCCTTACCGGCAGCAGACAAGCGAGCGAAAATTTTCATAGACTCACCAGCTCCCGGACAATCTGTATTGTTGTAGATGTAGAAATACGGTAGAGGCTAACAATAACCTCAGAAATGGTCACAACGGTCATGTCTTACAATAACTTAAACTTGTGTGGTATATTTTTCAGATTGGCTCGCGTCGTGAAATTGAGTGAGGTTTTTCACTGAAGTGAGTCTGATGAAGGCAACTATGGAGTGCTTTGTTGGCACTGACAATAAAGTATGACATGGCGTTATTGCGTAATGTAGTATAATACAACATGATATAATATAACACAATACAATATAGTATACTATAATATAACGTAATATAATGATTTTGTCCAATATTATATCGTACGATGTAATGGAGTAATAACTATCACTGCCTAACACAACACCACGTAGTTTGATATAATATACCATAATAAGATTTCATTTGCCATACAGCAAGACAAATAAATATAATACTGCGTAACACGGACGTGAACATTCCAACCCTGTGCTAGTTGGGCTTATGTGGCACTTTCACTCTTAGGTTTGTGCTGACTTAGAGCTTCGTTGCTCTTGATTTCAGATTTCCTGCATGGTTAACGAAGAGTAGGCAGGCGTGAAATTGTAGACATTTAAAATGTGAATAACCACATGGTACTTTGGAGACAGTCAAAGAGAACGTGAATTTTAACTTGAGATTTCTAAGCGCTTGCTTAAAGGGCCACTCAGTGAGCCAGAACTTCACCGATTGCAAAATAATTCCAATTCAACAGGTAAACCGGCTTTGTATTATATTTTGGGTGTCCTTTCTGCCCTATCTCCTTGTGAAGAGATAGAAAGTAAGAGTAAAGGACTTGGTAAAACCAGATCGTTCGGATAAATCAGAAAGCAAGTTAGCCAAAACTGTTTAGATTTCTTAAAAGTTCTTATCAAGCGAATAACATTTTTGCCGAGCACAATCACTAACACACTGGGGACAGTTTGAAGGATTTTTTGACAAGCTTAAGAATAGGGTTTCTTCATGAATGGCATCTTATTTACATTGCGTTCCTTGCAAAACAAAACTTGAGAAATCCGAAAACAACGGAATAAGAAAGACACGGGTGGGCGCAGTTGTAAATCAGACTTGACAATGAGTTTAAAGTGCCTGTTTCAGTAATGGATAATCAAGCGTTGCATGGAGGTTCTGTACAGTGAACACAAGTGGTTAGTGGCAGTTATATGTCAAAAAGATAAGACGGTAAACTACTCTTTGTCAGGTGCTTCACGACAAGAGGCCTTGTGGACAGGTTGCATTGTAAAGGGAAAACGAAGTGCTAGTTCAGCCGTTTGTTGCAAGTCAAACAGGAAGACAGTAAGTCTTGTATTTCTGCCGAGTTTGTTTCCTGGTTTTGAAGTACCGTGGAACATCTGATTGCAGTGTGCAACTACTGTTTTGAGAGTTCCCATTGGTCTTCACCCGCTAAACTGCAGTCGCAGATGGTATCACGATGCATCTTGACAATAGAACTCCTGATTCTGTGTGTTGAACTTCTGCGTTTTCTTGCCGATATCCCCGGTGGTTTACGTCCTTCGGGAAGATCGCTTTGGCTGAAACTGATGGCATCCGTTCATCCTTCTAGTGATGACTTGTTCGCGAAATTGCGAACCAACCGCGGTATGCCTGCACCATCCGGCCGGTTTAATTTTGGTGCGGACTGGATTAAAGTAGCGTTCCTTATGACTGTAATGTTGCAGGAAATTCACTCGGCGACCAGATAGCCGTGAATGAATGGTAACTGCTGAATCATAACCTAATTTATCCAACATCCCTAAGCTGTTTCATGTATCAAGGCCCTTTCCCTTTCATCCTTATTTGTAAATACCAAGTTTTTTAAGTGATTTAAAGTTTTCAGTATTAGTCAGCATATTTTCCTAGCGTGTTCATTTTTTGGCTTGTTTAACCATTTCGGAATGCGTCTAATAATCTCAAGTGTATCTTTTCTGTGGGGGTAGTACCATCGCTGTACCATGTTGCCTTGCTTCTGTGTTGACCGTAATATTGGCTCCAAAGAATTTCTGAGCAACAGATGGTTCATAGAATGGAGGTTACTGATTAATTGTTCCACACAATCCCTCAATGAAGCGGATTCTGAAGAAAAACTGGCCAAAATCGTTTGCTTGGCGCATTTTGTTTCTTCAGACACTAAAAACAAAGTCTTCTTTGATTGAGTTTCTTCCTCGTGACCTCTCGTTTTTGCCCTGCCATTGCTGGTCGGATGTATCAGGAGGACTGAGGAGAACGCTTGTCTGTTCTCCATTGTAAGTTTGGTATCAACACACAAGTTATTATGGTGTATGGGATGATCCAAGCTTTAATGTCAAATACGACTATTTTGTAATATACCAAGTAATTTCAAGACAAACAGTCTGATAATGTCAACCGACGTCATACTGGTCATGTCCAGTGGTAGCAGAAATTATGACACAAGTAATCTAGCTGACCAGTCGCATTATTTTATTGGAAACTACTTCATGCACGAAAAGCATCAATGTTTGATAGACATTTCAATTTTCCATCTGTTTACCTGATGTATACGTAGCAAGAAATCCTGATTTTGGGATGTCTTCGTCCGTCTTCATCTTTATAAACAGAGACGATCCTGTTGACTGATATGCATCAGGGAGATGCCAGCCACTAAGAGTAACGGAACTGGAGGATGTGTTGTAACCATCGTAAATGATTAGACCATCATATCCGGATTCCAACTGGAGTCAGAATAACGAGATACGCAGTGGGTAAGCAGCACCTTCAAGCGGACAGTAATTTAAACATAATGATAGTGCAAACTAAAAAAATGAGAAGTCGCAAAATTCATATCCGGATGTGGAAATTTTAATGCGTTTCGCAAATCTCCTGACGACAGCCTACCTCTGAAACTGTGTAAAGCACCCTATCAAGCTTCATCATATGGGCCAAATTTCAAATGGACAGCACAAACCAGGGACGGCCCCTTTTTACAACATACCCGAACCAGCTTTATCAGTAAACACAGTCGCACAGATTGGAAAAACTTGTAGATAGCTAAGCGTGCGCTTCGATAAATATATGTGATGCGTTCGGTTTAGGAATTTGGGAAAAAACAGGACTATATATTTATATATCGAGAGAGAGAGGAAGTATACATACATAGAGGGAGAGTAGTATTTGAGAAAACTAGACCAATCATAGATCATAAAAGAACGTATTAGCAGGTTTTGTCTCTATCTTCGTACTTGAGGAGTGTACTCTCAACGGTCTCAGCTGTGGGCAGGTTGAGTGCTGTTTTCACAAATTACAAACCGGATATCGTTTCTACTCTTAAGTTGGTCATACTAGAAGCGATTGCTTGTCAGAACTCTAAATATGCCGCTGGCATTACGGGTCTTAATAAGTATGACCTAACTAACCACTAATGAGTTCTGGTGACCACAGGATAAAAATCATGGGCTAGTTAGCTCATTTAAAACAGCATCGGATATCCTAGGATGGTAACTAAGTTTTCAGCCGATGCCCTGTTTGACATAAAAAAGCGTTGATGTTTTCGTCGGGCAATAAACTAGAAAACAGGAATAAAATTGGGAGAAAGGAAACAAAATTATGTTTCGCGATGATTGCTCGACAGATCGCCATTTGTAGTATTTTACCCACAAAGGAGAACAATGAGGAGTGAAGGTACTGTATGGTTCAACTCACCGCAAAGTGCAAAAATTTTAGCTTGATTCGGCAACCCTCATAAACGGTAATTTTCCAGGAGCAGAGCACACCATCTGGATAGTCCAATGGGAAGTTTGGTGACTTGATGATGCCAGTATCATTGTCGAGAACGTGGCTGCATTCCCCTGACAATGTTCCGCCGGATTCTGTTAGTAGGAGAAAAGATAATATTCGGAACTTGAATGCCACTGTTAAACATTCATGTAGGATGAATTTTCTCATCTTACGATTCTGGAGCAGATTGGTACAGATGTAAGTCTCGAGCAAGGGAACACAAACCGATGACATATTGGACTATACTATCTTTCAGGAGACACAATTTGGTTCCTAATTCGATACAACAAGAAATTGGAAAAATGACAGTTTGCTTCCTTGAGACCACTCCTACAACAAAAGAAAGTTACTGGTGCGCTGGAAACGACACATCCAAATCCAAAAAAAGCCAAAATACAATGAAGAAAGGAGTTATACTATACTGTTACCGGGAACACGAGAAACACGATAGAATGAACTGGATTTCCGTTCAAGGCGGTCACTTCAACTGAAACACATATCAGTTTAAGCCATAACAAGAAGACGATGCCAGTGAGTTTACTCGACACAAGATTAATTAATTTCGTTTTACTGTATCAACAGGAAACTCAACTCTCTACAACAGCCTTAACAAAGATAATACGAAGGGCAGAGGTGATCAAAACAGCGAATTAATCAGGTGCTCAACGAAACACATCATCACAACTGGATGAGCGATAAAATATTTAGCCACAAGCTGTGTTTCGTTGGATCTGTGTGTATATACCATGAACTATGCAAGACATTGAACCAGAGCAAAAGATTATCATACAATGGCTCCGATGAAATGCCAGAGAAACTGAATAGAATGATGGCAACCATTAGTCATAATAAGGAAAGACTACACAATTCCTCGAGGACAACCTTTACTTAAAGCACCAAACCCTCTTTATATATCAACGTTGCTCTTTTATTTTATGGAAAAAGTTTTACGTAAGCCAACTGATGAATCGACATTTCTTGACTTACCATTTTTCGGACAAACTATGTCATTGTGTGTGGGGAAGAAAATAGTAAGAAAGTTTGGCAACATCGTTTCTAATGATCACAAATACCCAGGTCTACTGGCAGTTTCACGCATAAAATAAGTCGCTTGAATTTGTTTAGGTCATGAACAACTCTGGGAAACAATAGACCAGCTTGAGGTTACAAGCAGTTCGGAAATTTTCGTTTGGCAGTGAGAACATGACCAGCTTACTGTCAAACTCAATCACATCAGCGAATGTATGCTGGTCCATTGAAGCAATAAACTCACGGTTAGAAATAAGAACAATCAGAAACATGAGATTGTCAGAGTGGAGTAAGATATTGCTATCCGACATATGGGTACAGTGGGCAAAATTTTGCAACTTTTTCAGCCATCATCAAACAGCTATGCCATATTTGCAAATGTACTACACGTACACGTATTAACCCGGAAGGTAACCACCTCAAGTAATTTCAGAAACTACCAACTCTATACTAACATCTTCCGACCGACATTTGAACGAGTCTGACAGCCAGTATCTCTCTCGTTCGTACACAGTACAGCTGTATTTACACAACGGATCTGATGTAGCAAAATATCGTACAGTATGTGGTGCAGAATATGTAAGTATCAGCGGCTTTAGCAACTTACCCGATACGTATGTGGCAAGAAAACCTGACCACTGAACATCACCGTCCGCATTCAGCTCAATGTAGAGGTGCCGTCCGGTTGAATAGAACGGGTCTGGAAGATACCAGCCGCTAAATTTAACTGAGCTAGAAGAATTGTCGTAACCATCATAAATGGTCAGGTTGTCGTGTCTGTATTCAAGCTGAAATAAGAATAACGGTAAACAACGCCTAATAAACCTTCTTGCGAGCTTCACTAGTCAAGTGAACCTGAAAATGTGATGGTGATACAGGACTGTTGTGTATAGTTTAAGCAAGAAGTACTCGTTTTCATCCAACCAAGCAATGAGTGCTATCACAAAACACATTTACAGTTTACAGCTTCCTTTATCCAGTTGACCCTATCCAGCTTTCAACCAGGGCCGCATTACGAAATGAGAACACCATACAAAGAGTGACTTGTCGACCTGCACCGAGAACTTGAAGTTACCGTGTATGCTACATTAGTCTTGCGTATTGCTGCCGCATCTAAATTAAGGGCACCAGTGGACTAACTAGCACTGAAGCCAACAAACTCAAGCTACACACTCGCACTGTCTAAGGAAATGTCAGTGTATGTTGGAGTCTGCCCTAAAATGTTGAATGTATGCGTCATTAATTAGGACATAGAACACACTTTAAAAGTTATGAGGAGACCTAAGAAAAAGTGACTACCGAACGTCCTAAAACAGTAGTATATGTGCTTCGGTGTGCAAAAACAAATGCGGGTTGGCCATGCTGAAAAACACGTGACTAGAGAGTTCAACTCCAAGGTCAGGGGATGCTGTCTGTTTACATCTATCTGACTAACATGAATATAAACCCCGTAAGAGGTAAGATCATGTAGTCTCCTCTTGGCCCTGCTGCTGTAACCTGAAAGTCATTTGAAACTACTCACCCAAGATGATCAGTTCTAATATTTTACATAGAATTTACTAGTACTTGATGAAATTCCTACCAGCCAACGTTAAAAAATAACTTATCTTTGCATACAGGTTAGTCTACAGGTGAATTTTGTGCGGTAAGTATTACAATGGCATGAAACAAAGAGACTGAGGGAATGAAACTCGATGAATTGCTTCAAACACATTGTTAGTTGGCATCCGAAACGGATGTACCGGTCTATGAAGCCTGCTTGCGGTAGCCAAAACATTAGAGGATTGTGCGAAGCTGAGTATGGTGCCCCGTACAAGCCACTGATAGTAATGCACACTGCAAGACTAAGGCTGGATTACAAAATCATAGTGATTGAAGATTTAGACCTACGTGCGGGCTATTGAAGTGATATGAGGTCATGCAGCATCGAAGTTTTAAAAAATGGCAACTTTGTCATCAAACAATCCCATCTGAAACTAAAAATGTGAAAACTGTTTTGCGGCTGCATGACTGATTTTCCCAATTACATAAAGCGAATAGAAAGTGGAAAGAATGATAGTGAGATTCTGCCTGTTTTAAATCGGCAAAAAGATCGTCTTTCTCATGGTCCACTCTCAAAGAACAATGAAGAAGTACACGAAAAATGACCATAGTTTAACTCACTGAAAAATGTGAAAAATTCAGCTTGACAGTGCAGTTTTGAGGGGCTTTAATTCTCCAAGAGCAGTTTGTATGGTGTGGATATTCAACCGGAAAGTTTGGTGATTTAATGGTCCCTGTGACATCGTCAAGAATGTAATTACATTCCTCGGGAGCCTTCATGTGAGCTTCGGCTGCAATAATAAAGCATATTAGAACTCGACAAGTCAGAAATGCCTTTTTAATGTGCTTTGGATGGATATCTTTGTAGTGCCTTTCCTCATAAAAATATCATTGAGAAGGCGGTCGCAATTGGAAGCCTATTTTGTCGCATGGGTCAAAGTCAATTTCGTCTAGAATAGAGCACCGCAAAAAGAGTGGGGTAAATTCAGTGTTTTAAGTGAAAAGAAACTTGAAAAGCAATTGATTTTTTGCCACAGTATAACATCCAACTTTCTCAACTCGCTCATCATCTTGCACGGCAGGAATATAGCTATAGTGGCCAGTGAATTTTAAGAAACACAAGGGATTAGGGCGGCACACCAATCCCCTAATTCTTATCCAGCGGATACATTTAAAGCCACGGCCATTGAGAGGGACAAGTATTCTACACGGAAATCGGCGCAGAGAGGGCGAGAAGTACACCTTATTAAAACCCGCGGTTTCATACTAAAAGATAAAGGAATTGGTCGGCGCGGCGAGAAAGCACAAATATCAACAGAGGCAAAGTAAATCGAAAATAAAGGGTGACATATGTGGCGAAGTCCTATTTTTATTCGTTTTACATAACAGCTGATAAACTTTACGCATCAGATTCCTCCAACGGATCACTATCAGCTCGTCAAGGACGAGGCCGATTAACCAATCACAAGAAACTGATGGTTGAAAAATTTTGAAGAAACTAAAAAGCCTAAAACTGGGAAAGCAAGGGTGAGTCGCGGCGACAGCGAATCTTCCGAGGCTATGACAGCTGATTACAACATAAAGCGAATGTGAAAACAACCCTCAGATAAATGGAGATGCGAAACTTTTTTATTTCTAATAATATGAGATCTCTCAGAACAATGACAACTCATGGAATATAAAGACGTGCAAATCATTCTGCAACCGAGTGAACTACCCATGACTGGAAAATCTATTGTGATAAATAAGGTTAGGCTTCAGGTTGTGGGTTGATAGCTAGATGGTTCTGTCACATTTTGGCATGCGATTAGAGAAGGTCAGATGATGGACAGGTCTTTTAGTTTGAGTGTCACGTACGTGTAGCTAAGCTGACAAACAACACGAGTGTAATCCATGCCGATTATCCCACTTTGAAGTGTTGGGCTTTTCAGAACTACGGGACTCATGCTAGTTTAAATTGCGCGATCTTGTAGTGTGCCTTGCTATCGACATTAATGTAACATAGTTTGTGGGGGAGTAGATTTGTGCTCTGTCAAAAATATTGTATTGAGCTTTCGCGAAACATGTCCGGGGAATCATTCTCCTCTTTATTCTCTCTGTATCTCATCACTAGTGCAAAACAATCGAAAATCAGATGACACGGTACTCTGCCCCGTCCACAATGAACATCTTGGAGCAGTTGGAACATCCAATTTCAAGTTAGACATAACGGGTTTAGCGATCTGACAAGGACACTTGACGAAATCGTGGTCAATAAGGCAATAATGGTATATTGGAAAAAGTGAGTAACCTAATAAAATCGAAATTTGTTTCCCGAAGGGGATATCGACAGAATGTCGGAATTCGGTCAGCCTCTTTTGTGTTTTCATAGTCATTTTGGAAGTGGCGATTTCAAAATTTTGGCGAATGGATTTCCTCAAATCAAGCGAAAATTCCTCAAGGCAGCGAAAATTTACAAATCATTAGGCTTCTTTGGCGCTCGTGTATTGCTCATTTTCATTTCCACATTTTCTAATCTGTGTCCTGGTCGTTGCATCTTCCCAGTGACGGGTTGCTTTGACGGGTGCCCGAATTTTATTTTGAACCATAATGGGTAATATGAGGTCATTTGAATTCCCAGGTTTGATCTGGTGTAGTTGTGGCAATCTGACCTTTTTATACAACAAATGTTTTGAAAACTTTAATTATTGTCACACAGGGCGTACCCTCACGACTCTTTGGTCGCAGTGTTAGTGTTCGGTTAATGAGATTCTCTGAAAAGTATGCGGGACAAGAGAGTAAAAACCAATGCACCGAAAACTCCAATTCGTGTTTCATTCTCCTCATTATTGTCTCGCAGCTTCGGCCAGATACTGTACATACCGCAGCTTTTAAGACTGATCCGAATTTGTGACTAAAATACATCTAACGACGATGGTAAGATCTGCTATGTAATTCGTCACTTCTACTGCCTTCTGAACAGCCAACTTAAGAATGGTAGTGAGAATAGTTTGCAGAATGTCAAATTATGTCATGAATTACTTAAGCCGAACTACTGAAATGCGTAATTCGTCATTCTACTGCCTTCTGAACAGCCAACTCAAGAATGGTAGTGAGAATAGTTTGCAGAATGTCGAATTATGTCATGAATTACTTAAGCCGAACTACTGAAATGCGCCTGGTAGTCTACAAGGGGCCACTTCTGCCTCACTGCCAAGACCGAACAATCTTATTTCATAGGCTTAGGGCCATTTAAGTATGCCGTCGTAACATGAAACTCAAGTTGATTTGTTCAAACGAGTTCCCCTGCGTACAATGGTTCCCTGATTGAGTGACGTGCACGTGGTAAGTAATGCCAGCAACGGTCACTAGGTCCAAAACACGTACTGATTTCGGGTCAGTTTTGGACGGGCAGTTCTACGAAGTTAGCATCGTGCAACTGCAAAAAGTGTAAGTCTCCTCAGCTACTCCGGAGGAAGCGATAGTGCAGAATAAAAGAGATCCCGTCCTTCCGTTTAAGGCGGTAATTGAGAAGCCCAATTCTCTTCCGAATTTACGAGATTGTATAAATGGTACCAAGTCCTCAGTGAATTTGGCGTCAGTCATAAAGGAATCAGTCGAAAAAAGTGAGACCTCCACAGAAGCGATCGAGCAAGTACTTACTAAATGCGCGGCTTAGATAATGTGCGTTATGTGGGACAATTTTGTTTCGACTTTGTAAAGGTCTTGTAAAGGTCTTCTACATCGATCAGAAGCTAACTGTTTATTCAGTATAAAATCACCTTCTGTCTGAAATTCGGACTTCATGGTTAGATGAGATAATAACAGTAGCATAATTATAATAATGTTATATTATACACCATATATAATATGATAGAATAATGGTAAAATAACAACGATGATAATACTAACAGGGAAATGAGCTAAGTTTACAGACGTATCGGTAAATGTCCCCACTCTCTTCCCTGTGTGCACCTAACCAACTTTGTTCTTACCTAGCCGACAGCTCATATGTCTCTGATCTAATAAGTTGTATCGTCCTCACCTGCGGTCACCTAAACTTATGGATAAAAATGGGGCACAATTTGTAAGTGGAATGCCTAGAGCGAGCTGAAATTCCAAGGATAGTTGGTGCAAAAATTATGCGCTCTATCCCACCGAAAAATTAACGCACCAGTCATAGCGCCATGGGATAGGTCAAAATGGAACGCGGCATACGAATATAAACCTCCGCAAATACTGGTAAAATGGTGAAAGCCATGGTAAATGGGGTTGGACAGGATACGAAGTGAGCATTTCAAGAAAGTACCGGGCAACTCACACAGTTTTTCTGCAACAGGCCTGTGGACTGGTATTATAGAAGAAAAGTTGGAAGCTCGCCGTGGTTCAAATCAAATCGATCAATTTTACTGAACATTAAAACAAAAGGAGACAAGAATGCTACTGTGTTCATGTAATAAGTCCGTTCAAAGTAAGTGAAAAAGTTTTGAATTGGCTGGTTATCCAAAGTATGATCGCCTTGCGAATAATGACCACTCAGCGCGCCAAACGACAGGGTCCAAAAATAGTTTTTGTTCTGATTAAAATAACATCAATTTTCCTAGACTAAATATATGATAGTTCTTTGTCTCATTTTGAAAGAAGAATGCGTTTTATTGCACTGCGAACAATAATGGGTTCCCTTACAATCCGTGCCTTCCTTAGCTGACTGTGTGTAGTGAACACAGAAAGGCTTCAGTACGGTTAGAGACATATCGATGAAAGCACTTAAGGGTGTTTATATTTGCTAATCCGCAAGTCAATGGCACAGTGGCCGTACGTCGTTATCAAACGGCAGATGCTGCGCGTTATGAAGGTAGCCTTGAAGGCAGTAGATTACACAGGTCAAACACATTAGGGGCTATCAAGTACTGTGCGAAATTTCAACCAGTCTGTTAAAATGCAATTCCCTAACAAACAACTGCTTTATATATTTGCATACCCTGAAAAACCATTTATGAACTTCCTCTAAAATTTACTTTTAAAATCTCTGGCTTTAAATTACCACTCCACAATCGAAAACCCACCAACTACCAACAAATTGATGTCGCTCTCGAAGAACTAAAACGAGAGTTTTCAGTTCACTTAGATTTTGAAAGGTATGAATCAACACGGTTTGACGCATTATTCTATCCGACCGTTATTTGCTCACATTCATTGTGTTTGCATTTCTTCTGTGTTATCCTAAGCAGTGCCTTTGGTAGTAGACCAGAAGTCACCGGACAACATCTCTCCCTAATACATATGTGACACTGTCAAAAACCAGAGGGTAAGAAAGATTTATTGGCATCACTGATATTTTTCGATCCAATTACGTCCAACAGATAACGGGTCATCCAATTGTGCGTTGGGATTTAAAACACCAGTTTTAAGCGAATGTACTGCTGATTTAATAAGAAATAGATTCTATGGACGAAGCACAACAAGATGGAGATGAACTTTCCATCGGTACTTAAAAACTTTTGAAACTCGCAATCAGTAGCAAAAGCCTGTTCATATATCCTGTTCATCTAGGAAATCATTTGTCGCTGAAACTCTATAACATTTTGGAGGCCAGTAAGAAGCTAGATCGAAAAATTTGGACGTTGTAGGCTATTTCTAAAGTCATGAGATGGCACATATAAAGGTGAGGCAGGTATATTTAGGAGGATATCGTCCTGCGGGTGGATAGCCGAGAGACACTTTAAAACTGCTCTGTCGCATTGGGAATCATCAGTAATGCACAAAATTTCTGGAGGCTTCGAACCCGCTACCTCCCGGCCATTGCTTTGAAAACAAAATGCTTGACCACAAGCGACTGATCATCAGTGTTATTAGATCACACTCCCTCAACATCCGCCATCAATCATCGTTCAATGGATTCACGCCACGTGGTCACTTGATTGATCGATTACTTCTCATATGTAATGTTCACTTGTCCTGTGTTTTGGTAGAATAAACAAGCGATATGTTGAGTCCGCCTTCAAAACCAGTGTATTTTGCATGAGTTTATTTCACCAGTTGTGCACAGTTTTACGTTCAGTTATAGCTTAAAGCTGATTGATCTTGGAGAACACACCCAGCTGATAAGATGAAACTTTCAGGGGTGTCGGATGGTCTTCAGCAACCTCAGGAGTAGTATGTTGTACTGAAAAACTAGTGAATTTAATATTCGGTGTCTGTTGGTTCGTTTACAGGTTTCTTTCAATGTACTTTGTTGTCTTTTTCATGTCCAGCAACGTAACATGTTGATTCATGCTACCAGTTATAGCATTCGTAACGATATACGAGATAGTCTTCTTGCGTCTCTCTTCTGACAACTTAGTGGAATTCGGGAAACACTAGCAAAATACGATTATCAAATGGAGATTCGAAATGTGGATTGATCTGAGTAAACTAGTGTTGACTGTTGCGAAGCTGAGCAGAATAATTAGCAGGATGAGCCGTATCTGTTCGCTGGTTTAAAATAATTGATTTTGTCTGCGGCCATTAAGGGGAGTTGATCTAGAAGCCCCCGGAAGAAAAGAGGTATGGGACATAATAGCGGAAGACCATGGTCTGCTACACAGGAGTCGGAATTGTATAAGATAGCCTCCTAAGAATTGGTACTTGATCAACTTTACTATATGTTGAGGTGAGGCTCCGGTTTATTACCCATCGGGTCGTTTTGGAGTGCTTTTTATCGGGCTAACACCACTGCCGTATAGGCTTTTGGCAACACATTATAACTGTTGACAAATCGTAATTCCACAATCTTTTGTGCTTTGCTTCAAAAGCCAGCTGTTGTCTACTCGTATCCAAAAGTCATAGTTCTCAATACTAGTTTGGAGTTAGTGGGTCCAAATCTCCTCTGGAACTTTTGAGATGTGCATTGTTAACTATTGTAAGCAGTGAAGAAACAGATGTACAGTGCTTCTCGGCTTTCAGGCCCAGACTGGTCTAATTTGCGGGATGAAACCTTAAGTTTAAAAACATTTTGTGTAGGTCATCTGTTGTCCAGGTCTTTAAGACTCACTTTATACTGCATGCACTACAGGCGTTGTCTGTTGAAGAGTTTCTTCATCCAACACGGAGCACATACACACAGGTTAGTGGTGTCTCGCCAAATGACCACGCTGTTGAGTTCACGAGCTACAGGATCTTCGCACACCAAAGGATCACTATCGTCGAAAATGACGTACTCAACCCACTCATTGACTCACTCATTCAACCTGTACATAGAGAGCTAATGTAACGGAGATGTAATTTTCCTCGTCACATAAAACGGAAAATTATTTGTTTTTGTGGAACGATAGCTGCATCAAGATTGCCTGGGTAATTCCACGGTTGCCGTCAGCATGGACGGATCATAAAGAATCAACTAAAAGTTGCGGTTTTCTAATTTGTTTTACTGGTCCTACGCGGCTCTGCAAGGCTGTTGAAAGGACATGGTAACCCACCAGATAATCGCGAATGAATCAGGTGGTTAAAATCCGAAATACAATACTGATTGACCAGAACACTTCACATTTAGGGAGAATATCCCTTATAATTTTTTCTTTGTTGATTACCAGAAGAGGTGTGGAATGTGTTGCTGAAAACATTTTTGCCCACAACAAATGTTGCACGCTAGGGGTACGTACTGAGTTGGCCACTACAGATCTGGCACCAGTCAGAAGTCTGCCGGTGAAACCGATAGTCCACTTTATTTGCAGGCGTTGTGTGCTAATGTGAAATTCATCACACTTCGACCGGAACAACCATGTTTACCAGTGTTAACTAGAAGTCAAGAGCCTTCTGTCGGCTCTATTGCATCAATGCATGCGTTCGCCGTTGCCTAATGTCAGCCAACGGATGCGGAATGTTGCCTCTGAAGAACTTCGGAACATTGGAAATATACTCCTATCTACAATAATTCGAACAATTGAGTATAACCCGCATACGTCACACATGGTGAGCTGACTTGCTTCCTAAATTGGACAGTTGTGCTTTTGTCGGTTGCGCACCAGTTTCTTTGTGTCGGGGTTCTTGATAGGGAATTTTTATTGACGCGTAGGTTCAACAATCCCGAATATCCAAAGAACGTCACTCACAGTTCCTCAACAGTACTCACTTGTCAACAAGTGCACAAGTCTGTCGTTGACAGGCACAGTTCACTGTCAACGTCCGCACCCCAACAGCTGCAAGCGGAAAGTAGTGTGGGTTGCGGTCTACCATTCCGATAACAGTCTGGTGATTCGGATTGGCAGTGTGATCACACGGAACCCATGTGAAAACAACTCAAGACAGGCTCAACAAACGGGACACAAACGCGCATGGGTAAGCTAAGCACATTCACACATACATGCTCAAGTGCGAACACGTTCACGCGTTCAGACGTGAGAATTCGGATGCGTCCATCGTGCACTGGTGTAATAGTGGTAACACGTTCGCCCCGCATGTCAGGTATCCGGAGTTCAAACCCCGGTATGGCCATTGGATATGAATTGCTGATGAGCTCTAACAAGAGCTAAGCTCGATTCCAGTGGTTCCACCCCTATGATGTGGATTCACATGAGTAATTGCGCCAGGGCACGAGGACGACTGTTCAATACGAGAGTGATGTGAAACTGAACATACACATTAGTCATGCGGAAACGGTTTTTGGGCAAGGTGAGTGGCGGGTACAGATTAGCAAAACAAATGGAGATCAAAAGTATATCGGTGGAGTAAGCAAATGAATGAAAGTCAAGCTGGATTCAGTAGTTTATCTGTTGGCTATTCGGAATATTATTTGTAATCCTTGGAATACACCTTTCTCGAGTGTGCTGCCTGATTTCTCTAAACAGCTGGTGTTACAAGGGCTAACTGAACAAACGTCAGCGTCCGCTTCATACATCGTGCAATAAATAGATTTACCACTATCCGTTATCGTATTTATCAAGTGTAGGAGAGATGCGCGTTTGTCCAAACTGTCTGTAACATCTCTTTGCAAAGTATTGTTCAGTGCCTTACTGAAACGTGATCGAAATGGACCTTTCTTGTCTGTTTAATTAGTACTTTGCATTTGAGATGGCAACCTATTTGGAATAATCAGTTCAGCTTTTGAACTTTTAAACTCACTCCCATAAGCGGGAATTCTTACGTGCAATATGTGAAAACGTAACATTGTCAAGACTTACCATCTTCTGGACAATCTAGATTGTTTTGCACAGATAAAAAGACGACAAAATTCGTAGTTGGGCTGGCAGATGTTCACCAGCAGTAAGGCTTTTGAGCAAATTTAATAGGTGCAAGAAGCCCAACAGATTGGTTCACTCCAGGTTTAAAAGCAGTGTTCAAAAGTAGCATAAACTTACTGTGGGGATCTGAGAAGTCCATCGCGCTTTTCCTATCTGCT